AGAACCCAGTCGAGCTCTGGTGCCCCAAGAGGCACCGGTGGGAAGGGGGCAGAGTGCAGAACCCCAGTGAGTCGCGGGTTGCTGCGGCCCACTGAGGCGAAGGAGGGCCACTCATACGCACCCCGCCCCACCATGTCTATCCCTGCTCTATTGCATCAGACTAGGACATAGGATTTCTCCCTGAATAACCACAATTAGGCCTTGGATGAGAAGGAATCAGCTGAAGCACGAGATACATAAAACAGAAATATGCAGCCACTAACAGAAACAGGAGGGAAGCTAAATGTAGAGCAGCTTCCTGAAGCTCTTTGTTACTTAGGTTCATAAACTAGAAATCCTTTCAGAACATGGGCTGCTACTGAAGACAGAGAAAGAAGCAGTGCCTAATAATGCTTCCCCTCTTCTTCCTAGTCAGACTTGGCTAGGAGTTTAGAATCTCTCTTCCACAGGAAGGTAATTACATCTGTTCTCTCTGATCAGCACCAGAGTCTCATTAATTTCTGTGCACAGTTCAGAGCACTATTTTCGATCTACACAGCTGTACAGGGTATGAACTCAACTGACTTTAGAGACCTGCTTCTCTCAGGGTGTTGTACCTGGCTGTCAAGATTAATTGGGATGCTCAAATACACAGTCCCATCAACCCAAGGGAAAGGATTCTCAGGGTGTACCTTAGACTCTGAAATTTACTGTTCAGTCTCTGACCTCTGCCCACTGATCCAAAAGACCATGAATCTGTTAACCCAGGCAAGTGGGTTGAGGTGGTGGAAAGAAGTTTGGAATGTGTCAATGTCAACATCAGATCATTCTGTGCTTGTCTGTATTTTTGGAAATCAGGAGGGAGAAGAGTTGGAGACGATCCTGTCATTACAAGTCTGGTCAATGGGGTGGTGATGGTAGCAGCAATCACAACTCTCTTGTTGACTACACTTAAGCACTGAGCCAACTATGGTAGCAGCAGAGGGTTCATTTTGTAAAACAATAGAAGGCCAATATTAGGGATGTCAATATGTAGTTGACTACATGATTAACCAATAAGCCTGGACTTATCGGTTACTTTTATTGACTACATGCACTCCCTCACCCTTGCTGCCTCTGATACAGAGGCAGCAAGGAAAAGGGAGGAGCAGGAGCCAGTGCTCGTGAGGAGCTGGCTTCGAACAGTTCTCTGCAAGTGCACAGGATCCAGCCCCTCCCACCCCCGTGCTGCGGCCTCTGATAGAGAAGCAGCAGAATGGAGGGTGAGGGGGGCAAGCTGGAGCCAATATGCACGGGAATCTGGCTTTCAAGCAGGATCCCTGTGCATGCTGGTTCCGAGGACCCATCTGCCTCCCTTCGCTGCCTCTAAGAGGCAGTTCAGCCCAACACCAGCTCTGCAGTGCTGCCTCCGCTCCACGTGCTGTTGCCTCTACAGCAGCACGGGGGAGGGGACAAGGGAGGCTGCCAAGAAGCAGCTTCTGTTCACCGTGGCCCAGGCTCCCCACAGACAGGGGCTGCTCTGTGGGATTCAGACCAACTTCTGTCCATAGGGAATTCGGACCCCCATGGACAGGAGCTGCTACCACCCCATGCTGCTGTCTTTGTATTGGAGCAGCTGGTCTGCACTGGGACCTGATTTTTAAAGTGGCTCCCCTGGTAAACTAACTCCCACCTCCCATCCTGCACTGCTGCCTCTGATAGAGAGGCAACAGCGTGGGGTAACGGGGCACCCTGGGAACAGGCATGGGAGTGTGACTGCCCACCACTGGGGACTATTGAATAGCTATTCAATTACACAATATTTAACATACCTAATCAATATCAGCACAAAACCCTCAAGTTCAGGAAATGAGACCCACAGATAAAGCTGAAGAACATGGCAAGTTGCCATGGTAATATGCATTTAGTCTCACTGTTTCCATGGCAATGAAAAGATATACCATTCTGTTCCACTGAAGGATGCCAAAGGTAAACGAGCACTGATTAAAACAAGGGCAGAAAGACAGAGGCCAGAATCTCTATCACTCCAGAAGGAAATATTAAAAAACAAAGAGAGACCCTGCATACACAAATTATCTCAAGGCATGAAAGTGGAGGCACTGCACAGACTGCCTTCCTTCAGTGAGGAACAACAGCACCATATACTGATCCAGAAAGCTGCTGTGCCTACTCACAGATGGACTTGGGAAAGCTGCTTTAACACAGCACTTCCCTCCATGGTTGCACATCTCCCACCAGCTATGAACCTCTTCTAATAGACTTCATTTACATCTATGATCCCAAACAAAATACAAACCTGAGCTTAAGTCTATCATCTACTCAGACCTGTTCTTCAAAGCACACCCCACCCCTCTGCCAAACCCAGACTTGGCCTAACCCTAATTCCAAACACCAACCAAAGCAGATGCCTCCACTAGGGGCCCAAACTTACTCTGACATCTCATTACCATATCTAGTGACTCAGGCCCAGAAATATGTGCCTAACTCCTATTAACTCTCAATGGGAGTTATGCATCTAAATACCTTTGGGCATCTGGCTCTCAAGCCAACCAATTAGACTGTCCTTTTGTATTAACTTGTCTTTGTTGAGGAAACAGAGAAACTGAAGTCAAAGGAGTTTTCCATATAGCTCTGAAGAGGTTAGATCCATGGTTACTTCTTGCAGAAGTGAGTTCTGCAGTCTGTTCTTATGAGTCTTCTGTACTCATATGGCTCCACCTGTTAACTGATAGTTACATTGATCCAGCGTAATCTGAGACTACATTTGCAGATAGCTGCTTGAGAGAGCTGCTCTAAGGCCAATTTCTTAGGGGAAGTGGACTATCAGGGCACAGAACCTTATACTGACAGTACACAAAAGAGACCAAATGACGAGAGAAGAACATCAGACTGATGTATCCACAGTAATCCTTGCTGTCAAGCAGACTTGCTGTTCTGTTTTGCCAAATGAGTCTTTGAAGAGGATAAGTTGTATAATTGTGCCCGAAGATCAAGAATGTGCAGGCTCAAGATCTGAAGTTCAAGGTCTTCATCTTCTGGCCAGTCATTCAAAAAGTGGGCATCTTTTGCCACTGTGACTGTTTGAGTCATTGCTACTATTGGACACTCAATGCATCTCAAAGTTGACTTCATCTAAAATCAGAATGCCTGTGACAGCAGGCAATGTGATGCTGGAGGCAAGTTGACTAAAGCATTCCTCTCTTCTTACCAGCATCGCCTCAGCTTTTCTTGGGCTCAGGTTTAGCCAGCTTCATCCAAGTGTTGGTTTGAGACACACACAGAGAGACAGAGTTGGGAGATAGCACTGATTGTGTTTGATGGAATGGTCAGAATGAGAGGGAGGAAGCTGGTATTATCTATATCATCCTGATGGCACTTCAGCCCACCTCATCTCAGCAGCTGTCCAAAGATTGCACGTAGGTGCTGAATAACACAAGAAGAGGACTGATCCTTTTAGGACTCCCTGAGGAGAGTTTTGGGAGTGGAGGGATAGTTGCTCATGACAACTCACTGGGCTGGACCTTACAGAAAGGATCTGAGCCATTTCAGGGCATGTTCTTTCACCTGTATTGCTTTTCGGAAGTGGAGAGGAAGTATTTTGGCAATTGGTGGCAGGATGACTTCTCTCATCTATGGGAAAGTAAAATGCTTCTGCCAGAGCATCAAATGCCATCTCTGTACCATTGTTTGGCCTGAAGCCTGACAGATCTAGGATACGAGCAGTTGACACATGGCACTGGCTGGATGGTCTTAAAGCAATCACAGACACAGGATTTAATCTACCATGTCTATTATATCTGCTTTAACAAGAACTCCAGCAATCTCTTCCTAGCCAAAAATCAGGGCTCCTTGTCCATCCTCCTCAATCATTCAGCTATTCTGACAATTGATTATACGCTCTCCTGAAATTTTCATCTCAGCTTGACTTCCATAATTACCCTCTTTTGATTCTCCTGCGTCTCTAATCTTTCCTTCTTTGTCTCTTAAGAGAGAGGGTTAAGTGAGGTGTTCCTCCTAACTGTGGAAGGCAAAAAAGTGTGTTTTTCCTCCAATCTCTAATTCTCCATGAATCCCTCCACAGCTCTGTCCTTGTCCCTCTTTTCCCTCTACAGCCTTTCATTAGGTGAACTTGAGCTTACAGCTCTTCAACCATCTTTATGCCAATGACTCCAATCTGCTTCTTCATTTCCATCCAGTCCTCTGCTTGGTTCCCTTTGGTGTCACCTTTGCCCAAAAGATAGTGTCCAAATCTTGCCACTTCCTTTCTCTATAGAATCAAACAAACATCAAGCTTTTCCATTTCAAAGAGGAAGCACCACCACTGTGCCCCTGCCCCATCCCATCAAGCTGGAGCCAGGGGAGGGAAGCACCACCACTGTGCCCCTGTCCCATCCCATCAAGCTGGAGCCAGGGGAGGAGGGGAAACCAGCTTTTGAGCTGGGGGAGAAGGGAGGGAGAAGGGGATTGTCGACTATCCAATAAGCTTTTGCTTACATCCCTACAGAGGGAGAAGGGGATTTGTCGACTATCCGATAAGCTTTTGCTTACATCCCTACATCACTTACATCCCTACATCTCTGAAGTCCAGAACAACCTCCTTGGGCCATGGACTACCAGACTGTTCTAACATACACCAGGAGATGAATTGGTTCCCAGCCAGACCCAGAACTGGGGAGTTGCAAAACCATCTATGTCCTTTCCTAGGTCCTGAGACTCACACATGTCAGCCAGAATCAAAATTCAAGCCCAAAGTCTCTGTATAGGGTTGTTTAACACAACTCCCAAGGAGTAAGGGTGCCACCTAGTGAAGTTACTGAGGTATTGCTAACACTGCAGGTGGAGAAAGCAGCATATGTGAGTTTTCCCTATAATTGTGCAGAAGTGGTTACAGATGGTACTTAGCAAGGGTTCTTTTAAGTTGCTTGGGGGCAGCTTCTGCAAAAGAGATAAAGTAATCTGCATATGGGAAGCATTTCCTTAAGCAACAGCATTCAACAGAAAATGAGCAAACACAGAGATGGTGAGGAGGAATGGAACAAGTATGTTCAGTTTAAATTCCATAAAATGAGTTCATTGACAATGTTCAAGAAGCATGGTTAAAACGACAACTTAAAATCAAGTCTATTTAGATAAAAGATTAAGTAATTTCAGGCTTCACACTGTCCCAGAACCCCCTACCATTTTTTATATTTTACAGTCACTCATAACCTATATAGAAATATAGGTTAAGTGAGACAGAAATGAATTTGACCAACTTCAAGCAGAACTAGAACCTATTTCTTGGATCAGAAAACAATGCCTTCCAGCCACCTTTCTGTGGCTTAGTTATCCTATTTAAAGACAGGTCTATTAATAATGCTCTGCATTTATACAAGGCTTTAGAGCTCACATTTTAAAGTGAATAAAACTGGAAACCAGTTGTCTGAGTGGCATTGTGGTTTGGTAGATAAAACATGTATCTAGCACAGAAATAAACATGCTCTTCCCAGCTATGTTGTAAGCTTAACCATGGGAGTTCAGACAATTCTGTTCTCAGTCTCAGCTATCCCATTTATAAAATTGGTTGTTAATACCACACCTCAGAAAGGCAAATAAAAGACATAACTAAACAGGGCATGTCAATTTCAGAAAATGATTAAAATTCACCCAGATTGCAAGCTGTTTCCTTCAGACCAAGCTATGCATTACTCCATATTCCATGGGAAATGGACACTTAAATCCTACAATTTGGTTATGAGACTGCTAAAGCAGGATTTTGTAATAATGGGGAAAAAACACAAGTTCCCCATCTCTCCTTTCACTTAAAAGGAGATGAACCATTTTGGCTCAAATTTACCATTCATCTCCAAGCAGAGACTGAGCATGGAAAACTTCAACAAAGAGGCTAGAGTTCCACAAAGTGTGAGTAACTGAAAATAAATTTGCATTGGAAACATCTAGGACAACCTTCCTACAGTTCACTTGTAGCTGGGCACTGCCCTATAAAGGCAATAAGAGATTTGTTTCTCTCCTAAAACCAGAAACAAAGATGAAGACAGATTAGATTATTAAGCAAAACTAGGGAAATGGTTTAGGTTATTAAATCAAAGTGGCATGCAGAACATGGTACAAGGGCTCTCAGATGTGACCCACCTGGCCCTCCTGCTGACAAAAGCAGACAGTTTAAGAAGCCATTTGCTGATTTGTACCACTTTTTAAATTGAGTCAGGATTGGGAACAAACCAAATTGCCTTTTTTAGCCCTAATGCTAAAACAACCCTAACCCCCTATGCCCACCTCTCTACTTTGCCTACCCGTATCAAGTACTGGATGCTCCCTGTAGACAGGTGGGCCATGGGGGCAGTGGAGGAGCTCTTGCCACTGAAGATCTTCAAGACTAAGAAGGTTAATAGAACAAACTGTCTGGAAAGACCCACAACTGCCTAGAACACACAGGCAGCCCTACAGCCAGTTTAAGGGCAAGGGGGAAATAACCATCTCCCTGTAGAAACCTGCATTCGAACCACACTTTGAAAAGCATGGGAAAAAAAACCAAACAAACAAATAATTGAAATTGTGATAAAAAAAAAACAACAACCCATCAAATACACAGGAACAGGCAGCTTCTAATTAGACAGGCAGTTCCACATGTTGGGCAGCTCAGGGAGATCAGAAAGGTTCATTACACTCAGCAGTTTCTGGAGATTCATGGAAGACAGAAGATGCTTTTGTGTTAGGTTTCAACCCTATTTCAAACCCTTGCAGGGACTGCCCTATCAGTCTTGGCTGTAGACTCAGTTCAGAGAGGCAGATGGGGACATTTACAGTAATTGTATAACAGTCTGAGGAGGATCGAGGAAGCTGAAAAAAATAGCAAAATTAGAAACCCTTGGAGACGATGCTGAGTATAGTCTCTGGCTCAGCGTCCACCCAAGCAACACCGAGAGAGGAATCCACTCAGAGTTTAACGGAGAAGGATGTTCCACATGAGCAACCTTGTTCGGCCTGTGGATTGCTCACCACTTGGAACGAGTTGCGGATCAGTTCCTGGCTGAAATCCACCATTGCACCTTTCACAAAGGCCAGGCTGTCCACATCCACAACAACACGGGCACCATCTTGCTCAAACACCCTACGAAAGAAGAATATGTGGTTTATTATAAGCCTGCAGACATAAAAGGAAAAGGCACACTTCCAGCAGTATAAAGGAATATACTGTGATCTCTTCCCTCCCCTTAGTGTGCTGTGATCATCCATCTCCTCTCTTCAACATACAACATTATTACACATATCTTTCTCATCACCTTAGCCCACAGAAATCTCTCCCCCCAACCTCAGCATACATCCACACACTTTTATCCTCTGTGCTTGCCTGTCATCAGGATTGATAACTGTATCCAAGGAAAACTTGTATTGGAATCCAGAGCAGCCACCTCCTTCCACCTGCAGCCTGAGAAACTCAGAACCTTCTATAATCTCCAGCAGCCTCTGCAAAGCAGAAAGGGAGGAGCATTAGAAGATCTGCAGTATTCACAGGCAAGGAGACAGTATCTACTTCAAATCCCAAGATGCCTCCACAGGATAAGGGCTAGAATCAGAGTAATAAGAAAGGGGCCTACAGCATATCCCAGTCCACCCACAGCCACATGTGGGGAATCCCTCATTGCAGCTTATTTGAGAAATGAATGGGAAACCACTAATTTCCCACGGTTCAGCTATCACAAAGTCTGCAGTTGCCTCAAAGGGACGCATATCTGAACAGGAATGGGGGTATCCATTAGTGAATCCTGCTAAGAATTAAAAAAATACTTTGGGAACTTTAGGTAAAAGAGCTGTAAGTAGCATGGTGTCGGTGGCACTTTTGTGGCAGGGAATTTTATGAAAAGAGCATGCCAGGCAATGTAAAAATCTTCTCAATGAAATAGACTCAAAGACACAGCATGAGTGCCTTCCAGGTTGTACCTTCACACAGCTGTTGGTGAGGGAGATCTGTCCCTCACTAGAGTCAGACACTGGTTGCCCTGGCTTAGAAGAGGATGATGCCCACTGCACCCTGATGCTTGGTACATGAGCTCCATTCTGAGAAGAACAGGGTGATGTTCTCACCAGACGTAGCAAAGTAGGGGAAAAGCTGCTGTGAAAAGATGGGGATGGAACAGTCAGCAATGCAGGCAAAAAGCACACTGGCTACTAGAGCAGAACCCCAGAAAGGAGATTTTGGGAATGCAGATGGGGACAAGCACAACAAGGAATTCCCAGGGAAAGGATAGAAACAACCTGAGATGCATAGTGAATGTGGGGAAGGAGAAATGCCTAATCTACACTGCTTCAAGGGATATCTAGCCAGTGACAGCACTGAGAGATTGTAACAGCCTAGTTCACAGCAATGATCATGTGAGCCAGGCACAGTAGCACGTGTCAAAGGTTTTGGAAGCAGGAGTCCCTTAGGAGATGCTTGTGCCCTGAACCAGAAATGCCGGTAACCATCACCTGTCCGTCACCTCGGCTGAGACGAGAATATTTAGCCACTTGTTGCCAATATCTTGGTCCGGCCCCGGGCACTAGCGAGTCCCCGGCGCGATCTCCCCCGACAAGGTCGCACCGCCCTCCTTGCCCAGCGGAGTAACCGCGCCCACGGCCCGAGACTCGGAGCGGCCCCGGCCGCACATCCCCGCCACCCAGTGCGGGGACCGGCTCCTACAGCAAGGCCACCCGAGGGGCGGGGCAGGGAGCTGCAGGCGCTAAGCAGCCGGGCAGCGTGTCGATACCACCCCCGCCCTACAGCGCAAATCCCAGCGCGGCGCCCCACGTGCGAGGGACACAGCGGAGCGCCCTGGTTCCGCCCGAGCCGGCGAGGGGCCCAGCCCCAGCAACCCAGGCGCGGGACCCCAACTAGGGGCCGCTGGGTTACCTGCTCCGACAGCCGCTCTGCAGCCTCCTCAGGCAGCTCAACAGTCGCCCCCGCGCCGCCATCTTGCGCCAGTGGCTTATGGTAAGCCCCGCCCACCCAACACGTCATTATTGGCGTAGAGCCGCGAAGCCCCGCCGCTTCCTGTGGTCCTGGTGACGTAGGGCACTCAGGCGGAAGCAGAAGGGAGGAGGCGCGCGCGCGTGATGACGAAGCCGTTTAAGGAACTTGGCTGCTTGCAGTTAGTTGCTAAGCAACAGTCTGGCTGTGACTGGGCTAGTTGCTGCCAGAGTCTATTCAACTCCAGCTCCCTGCAGTGCCCGGCGCTCCGGGGTCCTCTGGCCCCCAAGCACCGACCCCACAACCGAGCCCCCGGCAGGCACAGCCCCAGTCATTGCGGCTGGGCATGGCCCTTCAGCCCCCCCCTTCTGCGCCTGCGCAAGGGCTGTTCGGGGTCCGGGGTCCTTTCTCAAGGCCGCACTCCCGCGAAAGCACTTGTCCTGGTTGCCCACGTGCTTCTGCGTGGCCCGGCCTGCGGCTGCAGAGTCGTTCCGAGGCCGTGGCCCTGCCTGTGGGGGGCGCCCGCAAGGGACTCAGCCACCACTGATGGCCTCAGCTGCTGCCAGTGTTAGCTCTCTTCCAAGTTAGCTCCCCTGGACCCAGCACCAGGGGGCCAGCGTCGGCAACTAAACGCAGCCCCCTGCAGGCTGGCTGGTTTAATCCCCAGGGGGAGCTGACAACTGGACGCAGCCAACTCCTATCTCTCACACGCAAAGGTATTTCCAGTTGAGCACACTGATTGCCAATTGGAGCAGAAAAGAAAATTACTGATACTGTGTCGTGTTCTACAAGGCTGCGTCTAGACTGGCATGATTTTCCAGAAATGCTTTTAATGGAAAAGTTTTCCATTAAAAGCATTTTCGGAACAGAACGTCTAGATTGGCACAGATGCTTTTCCGCAAAAGCACTTTTTGTGGAAAAGCATCCGTGCCAATCTAGATGCGCTTTTCCGCAAAAAAGCCCCGATTGCCATTTTAGCGATCGGGGCTTTTTTGCGGAAAACACATCTGAGCTGTCTACACTGGCCCTTTTGCACAAAAGGGACCTTTGCCCGAACGGGAGCAGCATAGTATTTCCGCAAAAAGCACTGATTTATTACAGTAGGAAGTCAGTGCTTTTGCGGAAATTCAAGCGGCCAGTGTAGACAGCTGGCAAGTTTTTCTGGAAAAGTGGTTAATTTCCCGGAAAAACTGACCAGTCTAGACACAGCCCATAAGTTTGTTTAGGTTGGCTACGTGGTGAATCTGATGTGCTCCCAGGATGAGAGAGGATCTTTAGGCTAGGCAGGAAGATCTGTTCTTAGTTTATACAATTTCAAGCCTGGTGATATGCGCTTGTCTACTCAATTTATATTTTTGTCCTTGGATTAATTAGCATAATTACTATGGAATTATTCAAATATCTCATACAAGCTGACAGGAAATCAGGGTGCTATTCCACTTATCTGCATCATATTTATGAATCCACAAACTATGTAAATTGTAAAGTTTGTTTGTTTACTACTGTTGCTATTAGAGATGCTTAGTCAGCATCTCTATGTGCAGACTTGGAGGAGCTGATACATAGGCATCATCTTTTACTTTTCCCTGGAAGTGCTGCCCTTTCCCCTGAGACCCTGACTTCCCATCACATCCTAACTCCTCTCTGTCACCTCCCTGAGGCCTCCACCCACTGTTCTCCACCAGAAGTAGCCCTAGAAGAACTGGCACCCTAGGCGAAACGCACAATCGGTGCTCCCGCCTCCAAAGCGCTCAACAGCCATTTATCTTGGTGTCCTAATTTGCCTATATTGATGGGCCACCACTGTTCTCCACCCTTCCTGAAACCCCTCCTTGAATCACCAAGTGCTGCCAAACAGCTGATCAAGGTGCTGTGGAACAGCAATGGCTGGTGGGTGTTGATATGTATTCCAGCCTTGGAGCATGCATAGAGCCAACAGCTATGAGCCAATAGATTGCACCTGTGGTCTAGATGAAGGTAGGAAATTCTTTCTTCTCTTTAACCACTGCACCATGTTCATTTTTCTCTGACTTCAGTGTGTGTAGGATTGATCTCTATGTATTGGATGACTCTGCTGTATGACAGCATGTCACATAAGTAGGCATTTGTTACCTTCATTTTTGCAGAACAAATTACAGTACTGAGGCATGATTGCTGATATAGGACACTGTGGAACTGACTCACAGAGGAAGTAAAAACAGGAATAGATTAAATTGCTTTTAATGTTAGTGATTTTAAGTGTTTTTAGTAACAGTCATGGTAAAAATGTGACTGTGCTTCTGTTTTTAGATGTTGTACAGATTACAGATCCCTTTGCAATCCAAGGCTACGGAAGAGATTAATATCACCTAGAGTGAAGCAAAGGTGAGCCAACAACACTCATTTTCAATTAATTTAATTAATACCTTATTAGCAAGACTGGCTAGACCAGAAGTGGGCATTAATTTTTAAAAAGGAGCCACTTAAGAAATTTCTGAAGTCAGAAGGGGTGGGGCCAGGAGACTTCTCATGCTCTCCCTGCCCCATTGGCCTACGGTGGAAGAACAAGAGCAGTCTTCCTTCTCCCCTACCCCACCGAGAGAAATGCCAGCTGTTTTAAAACAGCTGGCATGTCTCTCTAGCTGCCCCATGCTCTTGCAGGAGTGAGGAGACTTTCTGAGGTCTCCTCCCACTTGGCACCTAGAGGGAATCACCTGGGCTGTGTCTAGATTGGCAAGTTTTTCCGCCAAAGCAGCTGCTTTTGCGGAAAAACTTGCCAGCTGTCTACACTGGCCGCTTGAATTTCCACAAGAACACTGACTTCCTACTGTCTGAAATCAGTGCTTCTTGCGGAAATATTATGCTGCTCCTGTTCGGGCAAAAGGGCCAGTGTAGACAGCTGGCAAGTTTTTCCGCCAAAGCAGCTGCTTTTGCGGAAAAACTTGCCAATCTAGACACAGCCCAGGTGATTCCCTCTAGGTGCCAAGTGGGAGGAGACCTCAGAAAGTCTCCTCACTCCTGCAAGAGCATGGGGCAGCTAGAGAGACATGCCAGCTGTTTTAAAACAATTGGCATGTCAATAGCCAGTGTGTGCCCCTGGCAGGGTGGGTATAGGACACAAAAGACTTTGCGTGCTTCCTGCCCCCAGGAAGCCTGATTGGCCTGGGGATGGGGAGCATGCAAAACTCACCCACCCACCTGCCAAAAGCGCGCAGCAACTAGGGATAAATACCGGCTTGTCTGTCTAGCCACCACGCACTCTTGCAGGGGCAAGGAGACTTCGTGTACTGCCCCACCCTCAGACCTAGGGGTGGAGGAGTGGCAGGGCAGCTGCAGGCCAAATCTGGTCCGCCAAGGGTCCTTTGCCCACCCCGGGACTAAACCAATGTCATTTGGTGTGAATATAGTAGCATAGATTCCAGCACATGTTGGCATACTTGGCAGTGGAATGGCAGAGGAGAAAGCAGAAAATATTTTAAAAGTGTCTACAAGTCTCAGAGGTAGCCATGTTAGTCTGTAACTTAAAAAGAAAAAGCTTAAAAAACAAGTGGTCCTGTAGCACCTTAGACTAACAAAAATATAGATAGTATTATGAGCTTTCTTGGGCACAACTTACTTCTTCAGATGACAAATATGGAGCAAGAGGCACAGAGAGAAAAATAAATATAAAGCAGAAAAGGAGTGGAGAGGGGAGGAGAAAAAAAACCCTGACAATTAAAGTGTCTGTGCTACATGAGGCTAATAGAGTGGGCTGTAAGTGTCTATTACTTAATTTTTGATGTCATTTGTGTGTTGAATATAATGGTCCATCCAAGAAATGTCTTTGTTCAGTCCCTGGCTAAATGTGTTAAATTTGCATATGAGGGCCTTTTAAAATGTAGAAATTGACAGAGTCCTTTGCATATAAAAGAAGTGGAAAACTGAATTGAAAAGGTTTTAAAAGGTATGTCAAGAATTGTGGACCAAGGAGAAAAGAGGAAGACAATTTTATGAACTATGCCCCAAATATGGGGCAGATAATGTGCTACTGTAGTCCAAAGTTATGAAAGGAACAGTAGTAATACCATGAACTGGTCACTGTGGTTTGAAAAATAATTTGTATTTATTGAATGGTCATGTAACATATGTAATATTAAAGAAACAGTGTATCACTTGATATGGGATTGCCAGTAGCATCCCATAGGGAAAAAAGCTTCTTTATTAAAAATTTATATGGTTTGGGGTGACAGAATATATTGCGAGGATTTAGTGAGAACATTAGGAAAGTAGGGTAATATTAAAAATCTCTATTATGTTTTTAAGGATATAAAGAAGCATAAGAGAGCATATGGCATGAATGTATGCAGAATATAATAAGTGGAGGTTATAGATTCAATAGGTAAGTGTGCTTTGCCATAAAACATAAGGGCTGTGTCTAGACTGGCAAGTTTTTCTGCAAAATCATCTGCTTTTGCGGAAAAACTTGCCAGCTGCCTACACTGGCCGCTTGAATTTCCGCAAAATCACTGACGATCTCATGTAAGATTGTCAGTGCTTTTGCGGAAATACTATGCTGCTCCCTTTCGGGCAAAAGTCTTTTTCCGAAAAACTTTTGCGCAAAAGGGCCAGCGTAGACAGCAGAGATTTGTTTTCCGCAAAAAGCCCCGATTGCGAAAATGGCGATTGGGGCTTTTTTGCGGAAAAGCGCGTCTAGATTGGCCACAGACGCTTTTCTTCAAAAAGTGCTTTTGCGGAAAAGCGTCCTGCCAATCTAGATGCGCTTTTCCAAAAATGCTTTTAACGGAAAACTTTTCCGTTAAAAGCATTTCCGGAAAATCATGCCAATGTAGACGTAGCCAAGATGTCAGTATATAAGAAATAGTCCTTCAGGTATTTACAAGAGAGAAAAGTAACTTTCAAAAGGTGTGAAGCTTATAAGAAGTGAAAATGTGGACAGATGACTAGGGAGGAGTATAAATATATTGCTCAAGAATGTAGGGAAGTAATCAGGAAGGAAGAAGCACAATTGGAATTTTAGCTAGCAAGGAATGTGAAGGGTAACAAGAAAGGTTTCTACAGGCATGTTAGCACTAAGAGGGTGATCAGAGAGGGTATGGGGCCCTTACTGGATGAGGGCAGTAACCCAGTGACAGATGATGTGGGAAAAGCTGAAGTACTCGGTGCTTTTCTTGCCTCTGTCTTCACAGGCTGTTACACTTTGGTTCGGTGATGTGATGGGAGCCTCAAGGGTTAAAGTTGACTACCCAGGGAAAACTACTGGATGATGGTGAAACAAATTATTTTTATTAAGTGGAATGATTTTTCATTAAAACTAACAATTAGCAAATGTTTTTTTTAAACTAGCAATTGCCCAATGCTTTTACAGGGTAGAAAAGCTTGGGCACAATTATACCCAACTGATTACAATTCTTTGATTACAATTCATTTATATCAAATCACTATCCCTAATTTGCTTAACGAAAAATACAAAAACAAAGCCAATATAATGATAATAAAAACTTCGTCCAAAGCCAGCCCCTCTATGGTTATTTTAGGGCAGCTGGTGGAGTTAGTCATAAATCTACTTTTAACTACTACACAACACAAGTTTATACAATTTATACAGTGTGGTTAACAGAACTTAGATACACTTTACAGAATTACACAGTGAAATTAACACAATTTAACTATTAACAAACCAATAACCAATACATTTAAGTAATACTTACAAATCCAGAAACGATAACAACACAAAGACACACTAGAACTCGGAGCATGCTCCGGACTCGTGCACCCCTATATTTGACTCGAAGGGTGGGGAGGCAGCCTCAGGGTGATCAATCCTTTAGCCGGGCAAAAAAAAAAGATACGTGCCCTCAATACACGGAACCTCTGTCGAACAAAGGGGTAGAGGGTCTTTTATACAAAAATTCGGTGTCTAATGCCATGCTAGGATCTGCATTTGGCAGGGCCTGATAGGCTAATGATGAGGTAGTATGACAATACTGCCCTATAGGAATTTTTGTGATGTATGCGTGATCCCCTCGTGGACAGGACCAGATGGGGCATAGTTAGTGTGAGACAGTTGTGTTTTATTACGCTATGTTTGCTTTTTCTCTTGCCTCTAAGACCGGTCAAGCTACGGTCAAATGAGGCTTATCTGTAAATGCAGCTAGGCGCTATCTAGTAATGCTCACCTCCCTGTTTTCTGGTGCGTCTGAGTCCCAGGATGCCTGTAAGGTCAAATTCCATTCACAAAAAAACTGCATTGTGCTTCCCATGCTCATTTGAGTTTTGTGTGGCAGGATGGGCTATAGCGAAGGCCGTGGACAGAAAAAGCCTGCTTTACAACACAGACAAGATCAGATCCCAAACTACTGCACTAGGCAATGCAGATCCTGCACTTCGGATGGAAATCCCAAGCATTGTTACAGGCTGGGGACTGACTGGCTATGCAGCAGAAAAGGACCTGGGGATACTTAATTCATCCAAGGTTATTAAGGGAATTGGCAAATGTCATTGCAGAGCCTTTGGCCATTATCTTCAAATGGCATATTAGGGTGCGTTAGGAGGTGGCATGATTTTCCGGAAATGCTTTTAACGGAAAAGTTTTATTCAGCACTGTGGTGAGGCCACATCTGGAGTACTGCGTCCAGTTCTGGGCCCCCCAGAAAGGATGTGGACGCATTGCAGAGGGTCCAGCGGAAGGCAACCAAAATGATTAAAGGGGCTGAGTACATGACCTACAAGGACAGGCTGAGGGATTTGAGCTTATTTAGTCTGCAGAAGAGAAGAGTGAAGGGGGATTTGATAGCAGCTTTCAACTACCTGAAGGGAGGTTCCAAAGACGATGGAGAGAGGCAGTAGTGACAGATGGCAGAACAAGGAGCAATGGACTCAAGTTACAGGGGAAGAGGTCTAGGTTGGATATTTAGGAAAAACTATTTCACTAGGAAGGTGGTAAAGCACTGGAATGGGTTACCTAGGGAGGTGGTAGAATCTCCATCCCTAGAGGTTTTTAAGTCTCAGCTTGATAGAGCCCTGGCTGGAATGATTTAGTTGGGGTTGGTCCTGCTTTGGGCAGGGAGCTGGACTCGATGACCTCCTGTGGTCTTTTCCAGACCCAGGATTCTATGATTCTAATTAGTTTTTAAAATATTATTCTGTACTTGATGCATAGATAACAATTCTGTTTTGTGGCATTTTTAAGATCCATTCCCAGTACCAGATTAAACAAATAATATTTTGTGTCAAACCTTATAAAATAGAACAGGAAAAAATGTGCCCGTTTTTATTACCACCATGTTTGCAAATGAAGACCTGTTGAAGTAAAGATGTGGTTGGTGGGCACTACATCAGGAAGGAGTCCCATTTAACTCTCATAGAGTATGCTGCTGAAGGAAACAT